GCACATAACTGCAGAACAGTAGTCCCTTAAACGATGAGAGAGGGTAGGCTTCCAGGACACAAGCAGAAGAATCAATCTTAGAAACAAGAGCAGAAGAAAAACAGAGTATGTGGATTACAAATACAGGTAGTGAGAATTTATGATGGGAATATATATTTCTCCTCTGATTACATCTATTATTTGTATAATTAAAAGGTAATAACTTTAAAATATTGTCAAGACTTTTCCAGCCCATAGGAGAGATAGGTAACCAAGCAAGCCGTTTGTGTAAAGTGCTCAGAGCAGAGCCTGGAACATAGTAGGACTATGTACAGTTAGCTTCTATTGCTGTTAAAAGTGTTACCCGATACTATTAAGAAGCATGCACAGGGCATAGTGGAGACTTAACTGGAAGAGTGGTCAATTCTACTGTGGGAGAAGCGAGAGCAAGAAGGTCTTTAAGATGAAAAATTCTTGAGCTCACAGTTGGGACAACTTTTGAAAACTGAATGGTTGTAGTTAAGGCAATGGGATGGGGTGGATGGTGGCAAAAAGCATTACAGAGAGAGAGAAAAAGTGAACCTCAGGAACTCAGAAGAATCAAACCAGCTATTCAGCCAAAGGATCCACAAACAATTTCTTATGGCTGAAATATAAGTTTTAAGGAGGGTCAGTGCAAGAGAGAGAGATAGACAGGAGGTTCCCAGGAATAAAGGAGCTTGTATACTATACAGAGAGCCTCCTAGTCAGATCTGCAATTCAGAAAATTTACTTGGCTAATAAATGGGGAAGAGGGTGCAAAACTGGAGACTGGAAGACCAATTATTCACATTATAGAAAGAAGAGGATCTGAAGTTATGAGGTAGCTCTAATAGAAGGTAAAAGTTGAGACAAATTAAACAGGAAAATATGGAGTTTGCAGATTAAACAGAGAAAAATGTGTAAGAGAATGATGAGCTTCAAAATAAAATATAAAAGCTCACTGGCCAGTTGCTCAACGGTTAGACCATCAGCCCATGGGTTGAAGGGTCGTGGGTTTGATTCCCAGTCAAGGGCAAGTACCTGGGTTGCAGGTTCAATCCCCAGCCCCAGTTGGGGTAGTGCAGGAGGCAACCAACCAGTGTGTCTCTCTCACATGGATGTTTCTCTCTCTCTCTCTCTCTCTCTCTGTCTCTCTCTCTCCACCTCCCTCCCTTCCACTCTATCTGAAAATCAATAGAGAAATATCCTCAGCTGAGGATTAACAAATAAATAAATAAATAAGTAAATAAGTAAATAAATAAATAAAATATAAAAGGAAAACTAAAAATACTTCAGAAATGAGTGAATATAAGATCCCTTCAAAAAGAGTCTCTGTTGCCTCAGCCTAGCCAAAGTGACACATTACAGACCCTCTACATCTCTTAGTAGAATCTATTTAATGGATCCTATTATGTCTCATACTCATAATGATTATAAATTGTATTGCCACTGTTGATGTGATCTCTATGCAATATATTCACTAAATGGTTGTGAACACCCTAATGCCCTTTCCATTTTTCTTTTATCATATATCACAGTAACTCAAATCTATTTACCCAACACTGCTCTCTCTCTCTCTTACACTGAAACAGCTAAAAATAGTTCAAAAACATGCTGAACAGTCCAATTTTGAATTTATTAATAAAAATCCTACCTAAGCCTTCAAAACAGGGGTGGGGGCACTCTGTCAAAAACAAAGACAAAACAAAACCAAGAGTGTATGGAGTGAATGGTTTAAATAGAAGAAGAAAGAGGAGGAGAAGGAAATGGAGCTGGAGGAGAAGGAGAGGGAATAGGGAGGAAGACTAACAATAGAAACATGTGTCCATTACAATCAAATTAGAGAAATATAATGAAAAGGGAGCATCTACTTACAAAGTTTTGGTCATAGAAGCAAACCATTTGGAAGGAAGTCATCTGGCCTTTGGGTCATTAGAGTTTATAACAAAGGAACAGTTCTGTATGTGCCAAATAAGGACGCCTAGAGCACCAAGTCACACCCTTTATTAAGTATGAACACACAAGAAGTTGGAAGTAGAACCTTATACTATGAGCAGGTAACTTTGTAAGACTGCCCGGAGGGAGGTCCCAGATAGGAGCTGCCAGTGTGTTAGAGCTCTGGGGCACTGTAGCTCTGTTGATTCTCCAAGGGATTCCAACCCAATCCATGTAGATAACAAAACACATCCACAATGCCAGGCTTAGTTTATTACTAGCTGGTTTCACTGCATGGAAGAAACCCAAGATTGGGAAAGAGGAACATTCGTGCACCTGATATCCTTCTGGGTTGGCCAGGGACAGAAGTAGTCCAAGCATCCTAGGTCACAAGTAGACCAAGGGATCAACTATAGCTTTGTCAGAACTAAGGAGGGGGCAACAAATTTGAGAGAGTTATGGAGACAAAATCTACAGGATTTAATCATTGAATGGGTTTTTCCTGTGAACAAGAGAGAAGAGTCAAAGTTGATATCCCTATTTCCACCAAATGGGAGCAGGTGTGTTGGGGCGGTATGAGTTAAATGTAGATATATTGAGTCTGAGAGGTGAGTGAGGCATCAATTATATGTGTGGATCAGGAGCTCAGGAGAAAGGTCTGGACTGGGAAAGTGGTTTCTAGCCATCAAGACACAGTGGTGTTAAACCATTCAGAGAGCACACAGGTCCAGTCACACAGCAATGGCAGAAGAAGAGGATCCAGCAAAGGGGACCAGGAGACATCAGCCTAAGAGGTAGAAAGTGTACTGGGGAGGACGGCATTTCAAGGAGACTCATTAACCAATAATATCAGGTCAAGCTGGTCTAGTATTTTGGCTTTGACTTAGTCAATGAACAGAAATTATTTTAATACATCACTGTTCACTTACACACACAGGTAATACAAAGCAAGTGTATGAGCATTTCTAACAAGAACACAAGCACATGTTGCTATAACCATAGTGTGACCTTCATGGGAGAGCAGCTTTTTGAGACATTCTCTCCCTGAACTCTCTTCTCTAAATTTTCTCCCCTGAATAATTTTGAATCATTAAAAGGCACAGCTTCTAATTAACCTAGTAATGCCTTCTAATGACTGCATGTACTCAAGACTTTGAAATCTCTCTAGTTAGCACAGTCATGAGACTGAAAAAGATATTTTTTTATTAAATACAATATGACTTATTCCATCTCTAAGCTTAAAAGCAAATAATAAACACTCTCTTAATATATACTCTTTCTCATCACCAAATTTAATTGCTCTTGAGGGAAGTGAAGTAGAGGAAAAAATATTAAAGACCCATGGGAAAACCTAATTAATAAGTTAACCATTGACCAATTGTTCTTGCAAAAAAAAACAAAAAAAAAACGCCTGTGCATTGGGTAACTAGAAAGAAATGCATTATGTTTCTTTCTACTTTTAATAAGATGAGAAGCCTCATTTAGGTGCTGAAGACCCTAAAGTATATGCTTTCATTTACTAAAGCCAGATTTATAAGAAGTGGAAAATTGTTTTTATTTCAGTTAACATGACATTTGGACCACATATGTTTGTTTCCAGTTTCATATGACCTCTAAACAGTGAAGCTCAAAATACTCTTCTCCCCTACTTTATAAATGTTTTTCAAGGTGATAATTTCTGGTGCAACAATTATGTAATGTTTGAGAAATATCAGGCTCCTTAAAATACAGGTCTTCAAATTCTTCCACAATCTCCTCCTGAACCTTCCTGAGGGATATGACCCACTCCCCTCTGTGTAGGAGCACATATAGAAGCAATTCCCAAAGTGCACATTACATGCATGCACACTGAGGAGGGAACTCCTTCACATGCCCCATGGTTTCCTCCCTATTTTTAGGCACCTATGGGACATAATGTCTTAAAAAGGATGGAGTGTGATCCAAAGCGCTCCTGAAATCTCTCTGGTTTGGCCATCATTTTTTTATTAGGAAAGAGCTCTCCGACATTCATCCAAGTAACTGGGGAACAAGAACAGCATGCATCCCATTATCATTTATCTTCATCTTCTGTCTCTTCCCCATGTATACTTTGAACAAGAGTCTGCTGAGGAAACCAGACATGGAGACAAACCAAATAAAAAATACTGCAACTATCTGTTTCCTCCCAGCCACATGATTTTATTCCTAAACAGAAGTCTTGCGTTATATCAAAACCAGAGACTTCTCTAAAAGGGGGAAAGATATTATAAACCACTACACAGTAAACACCATTTTCACAATAGCATGTAGCAGCATAAGCAATGTACTACACATAAATGAGACAAAAGAGCATTCTGCCACGTAGACCCCATTACTGGCAGAACCGACAGACACAACCTTGAAAGCATCCTTGGGAGCCACAGCATAACTGGATCCAGCAGCCTGCACACACATTTACATGCTGTGAAACTGTACTTTCAGCTTCTGAGGACCTATGAATAAACTCTAAATAAAACCATTTCTATGCTGATTTGAGCCCAAAAGGGGGAGGGGAGTTTTTAATCGAGTTGACAATGTACGCCCCTTGGAATGAAAGTTACTCACCCTTTCTTTTGCTCTTAGAAAGGTAAAAAGACGGTAGGCAGCAGAGAAACGTGGAGTGTAGCCGTCAAGATGACTGTGAGATGTTGGAGAAATACAAGAAGAGTAATACAGGGGTGGGCAAAAGTACATTTACAGTTGTTAGTAATAAATAATACAATAATTAGTAAATAATAATACAAGCATAACTTGTTTCATGTACTCACAACTGTAAACCTACTTTTTCCCACCCCTTCCTTTGAGATCCTTGACATCAAAGTGGGCAAATGGAGTCAGTCTGTTTGGAAGCCACTTCTTACTCTCCAGATATGCAAATTCTGGTTCTGGCATTTCAACTCCCTGTGGGCCACCCTTTCCACTTCCTATCACAAAAAGAGCTATCCTTTGGCTCTTCCGATTCTCTTCTCCCCATGCCTACCTTCTCCCTCACAGCTCAACAAATTATACCTTTGTTGATGACACACCATATGCTGAAATGTACATACCCTTTCCAACCTGACTGTTCCACAGGTAGACATTCCTATAGCAGGACCAACTCAGGTGACTAGTTCTCTAATGTTGATGAATCCAAACTCTGAAAGAGAAGTAAAGGAGAATGTAGTGGTGATTGTTCATGCTGAAAATGAGGTTGTACATGTGTTCATATTTGACAAAGGAGGCAAGAGTTCACAATGGAGTAAAGACGGTCTCTTCAATAAATGGTGTTGGGAAAATTGGACAGCTACATGCAAAATAATGAAACTAGATCACCAACTTACACCATACACAAGAATAAACTAAAAATGAATAAGAGACTTAAATGTAACTCATGAAACCATAAAAATCCTAGAAAAAAATGTAGGCAGCAAAATTTCAGACATCACCCATAGCAGAATTTTCACCAATATATCACCTACAGCAAGAGAAGCAACAACAACAACAAAAATCAATAAATGGGACTACATCAAACTAAAAAGATTCTGCACAGCAAAAAAAAAAAACACCATCAAAATGAAAAGGGAACCCACTGTATGGGAGAGCATATTTGCCAATGATATATCAGATAAGGAGTTAATTTCCAAAATACATAGAGTATTCATACAACTCAACAAAAGGAAGACAAACAATCCAAATAAAAAATGGGCAGAGGACCTAAATAGATACTTCTCCAAACAGGACATAGAAATCAGAGAGATACAAATTAAAACAACTATGAGGTACCACCTCACACCTGCCACAATGGCTGCCATCAACAAATCATCAAACAACAAGTGTTGGTGAGGGTGTGGAGAGAAGGGGACTCTAGTACACTGCAGGTGGGAATGCAGACTGGTGCAGCCACTATGGAAAACAATATGGTGTTTCCTCAAAAAATTAAAAATGGAACTGCCATTTGACCCAGTGATCCCACTTCTAGAAATATACCCTAAAAACACTGAAACACCAATCAGAAAGAATATGTGTACCCCTATGTTCATAGCAGCACTATTGACAATTGCTAAGATCTGGAAACAGCCCAAGTAGATGAGTGGATAAAAAAGGTGTGGTACATATACACAATGGAGTGCTATGCAGCTGTAAGAAAGAAAGATCTCTTATCCTTTGAGATGACAAAGAGGGACCTGGAGAGTATTATGCTAAGTGAAAAAAGCCAATCAGAGAAAGACAAATTTCACATGATCTCATTTATTTGTGGAATATAATGAATAAAATATGCTAACGAACAAAATAGATCCAGAGACATGGAAGTAGGGAACAGACTGACAAACTTCAAATGGAAGAAGCGGGGGTGGGGGGGCAGAAATAAACTAGAACTTATATGCATATATGCACAACCAATGGACAAAGACAACAGTGCAGTGAAGGTGGAGGGGAGTGGGGAGGAAGGTGTCAATGTGGGAGGGGGAGGAAGATTATCTGTAATAAAAAATAATTTTTTTAAATGAGGTTGGTACATGTGCTTATATAATATGTGTGTCTATAAATATATATACCAGTACATATAAACATACAGAACTAACCACAATTATTCCTTATTAGCTCCTTTATCTAGAGCACTATGTAATGCAGCTACCCCCACCCAAGTACCATTTCAGGACATTTTTGTGTGTGTGTGACATCTTTTTCCCCACCTACATTGCCCTTTATGCCCATCTCACCCAGATTTTATCTCTATAGAAATGTTAAGGAAGAAATAACATTTTGTTATATGCTCTAGTTTTCCCCATATTGGAGCCATGAAATCGCACTGTTTCCCATGAATAATTCCTAACTAATCCAAGTAGCATCTCTAACACTGGAGGACCACGGGCTAAAGGTATTGCAAAACACTCCGCCCTCGATGTGCCTCATCATCTGCTAGCAAGTTTTGCCGATTCAACCAAGATTACTTCTACAGAAGGCTATAGCAAATTTAAGAATTTCACTAAACACTACTGTGCTCATTTCAGCTGACTCTTCCGAAGGTCCAAGTTTTTCTGATAGATGATCTCATTGATCCACCAAGGGTTCATTACCTGAGATGCCACAGGCAGCTGGTCACACTAAGGCTCATCTTGCTTTGGCCTTCGTCCTATCAGAACTTTAGAAAAAGACAGATTTTTTAAGGAAAAACTTCCTAGGCAGGCAGTGTGAAAAGACAGTGGATGGAAGATTTGTCTCAACAAACTGCAGGAAGTTCTCTCTGTGACATTTCCTACGCTGTTGCCTGCCTTATAAGAAAAATACTCATGTCACCTTGAACAACTTGCCTTAATATCGATTGCCACCCTAAAGGGCAGAGTATGATAGTAAGCGTCCTGTCAGGTGCCCTCATAGATAGATAATTATGCCACATGCACACAATGAAACCCCATTGTACATACACGTGCACACACGTATCCAGCCGCGTACAACCCAAAGACATCCACGCCACCCAAAAAGCTCACTGCTAGCCACCCGTGGGGCTGCAGACTTATTTAGCCTTTGTTCCATATAATTTCAAAAGCCACTTGATTTGCCTGTTTTTCCACCAAATGGGAAGAAAATGGCTTGATGTAAGACTATAAGATTTAAATCCCCAGATTCCTTCTCGATGAAGGAGAGGAAGAAGTAAGGATTCTGTCCTGTTTGGTTTTACTGTATTGCTAAATTACCCATTTAAAAACAACAACAACAACAACAACCTGATCTCTCTTTCAGAAAATCGTGAGTTAAGACTAAGCTTTTAAAGAACATAAAAGGCAAGCGATTGAGGAGAATATCCCTAGTAAGTCGCGGGTGTTTTCAAGGGACGGGGAAATTCACAGCAAGGGGGAGGAGCCTGACTAGTCGAAGCTGCAGGATTAAACCTCTCAGCCAACCCAGAGACCCCCAAGCGGAGATGTTACCACCCTCTGATTTTCATCCTGATGTTTCCCAACTATTTTCTAACAGCTAAATGTTTAAAAACAATTGTGTCATTTGAAACATTCTAGCCAACAAGGGGTGAATGTGATTAGTTTGACCTTAATGAGGAGAGGTGAGGAAGAGTGTTCTTTAATCCTTTATGTGTAAAAAAAAAAAAAAAAAGAATTACTTCCCTGAATCAGAAATAAAGTAAAAATGGAACTCTGTGGAAACTCTGGTTACCTGGCAACCCAAACCCATGGGCTGTGTCCGCTCACATCCTAATGTCCTCCAGCATGAAAGATGCAGTCAGAAGGGATTCCCTTTGTGCCAGCCTCTTTACTCCTGCCCATTCATTCATCCCAGTTATTTGGTTGCTAAGTCAGTAACCTAGATTTCTGCAGGCTCTTATACTTGTCTCTGCAGGGAAGGAAGCTTCTGCTAGGGAATTCACCGTAAAACCTTTTTAAATGAATCAGTGTTTTGCAAACCCCCTGGGAAAACAACACAAGGAGGGGCAGCTGGGAAAGTACTGCTCAGGCAGTGCTGCGGGTCCTCTCCTTGCTCTGGAAACCTGCAGCGTCCTGCCCATGTCACCCGATCCTCGCCGCCTGAGGCTTCCTCCTCCTCTCGGGGAACTGCCTGTCCCTGCAGATTCACCTACAAGTAATCAACCCCAATAGGCAACTGCCTAGAATAACAGGAAGAAAAATAACTACTGCAGTCCACAGCCTGGCTCCAGACCTGCCTCCAACCCAAGCCAAGCACCTGCCGGTTATTTTTACCTCTTGCCTAAACTAGAAATAATATTCTAGGGCTATTTTTGTTGTTGCTGTTTTGACTTTGTGACTTAACGAAATAATTTGAAGACTATTCCAGAGCTACATGCTGAACTACAAACTAGAAAAAAAATTTCTAATTAACATTTTACTTTTGTTAGGAGAGAAATGCTGCATTCTCTCTGTAGGTTGTCAGATTAAACTAAATGTCAGTGGTTCTGACAGTGATTCTGTTCATCCCCAACCAATCAAAACAGGTTTATCTGCTCAGTGTCTTTTAAAAACTTAGTACTCCTGGGGCCTTGTCCATTTTACTGTTTATATGTTCATCAGCATCTTTGTTGAAAAGTTTTATGAAGGATGAGGGAGTCTAACATTTGGTATTATAATATAGAAAGAAAAGTGAGTTCCCTATAAACTTCATCCAACAAAAAAGATTGAGAAACTAGCATATGTGATACTAGGATTTAAAAAAATATGCCTGAGGTACAAAGATGAACACAACACAATCTCTATTCTCAGAGAATTTGAATGCAAAAAGAAAGATGGTATGTTTTATTATAATACAAGAAAAATATGCTAAGGACCTAAAGAGACATAGCAGTGTGCCTTGAGAACCTTTCGAAATACAATCATTTCCAAAGGTACAGGGTTCAAGAAGGTGCAGGAAACATTCAGGAATTGGTCAGTGGTCCAGTTTGGTCAATGCCCAGGATACAGGATTGTAGTTTCAAGTCAACTGATAATGATGCTTCTCAGAATTTATTCACTCATTCATTCAACACATATTTACTAAGTGCCCACTCTTCTTGTCAGGGACCTAAAGAATTTTTAAAAACCACAGTAAACAGGTGATTCTGTGATAATTTTTCACAGGGCCCTTCACCAGCTGCTGATTAGAAATCACCATGCCTGCTTTAAGATGACAATAATATCACAGTTGATGTTGCTAAAAAATTATTGTGTTTAATATAACATTCATGATAAAGGTTTTATCATTCCGAGGGGGCAACAGAACAGCTTGTTGGAAGAAACTGGTTCAAAGCACAAAGCATCAATGCATAACACTCATGCCATTAGAACATCCCAACTACATGCAATTGTACCTCCCAAAGTATTGCCTACTGAGTTGGGTGTTTAAGAGGAGAAGGTTAGCCATTTCATTTGCGACTAGCTACCCTATCAATTCACTTAAAAGGTAGACACACAGATTACATCTGAAGGGAAAGACATGTTCTCAGATAATATTCTTCAACTTTATGGATAAAAGAGATAAAAATACTTGCTGAGTCTAATTCATGGGGTTCATGTAAGGATAAAATGAGGCAATCGATGTGAAGTAAGCTGTAACCTGCTAAACAATAAACAAAGATTACCTCATTCGTATCACAAATTCAGTCTTTGCTGCTGAGTTAGTGTCACTAGAACCCTCTCACTGAAAATGGCCTCAGC